TCTCCCAAGAAGTTAAAGAAGCGCTCTTGCAACATTCCGATGTGGAGTTACTGTACCTTTAAATAACAATACGGGGCTGAACATACAGCTGTAATGTAAGAACTATTCTCCCAAGAAGTTAAAAAACCGCTCTTGCAACATTCCGATGTGGAGTTTCTCCATTTTGTTTCTATGGAGTTGAGGATGAAAAACAAATCAATTCTCATCATGGACGTTTACTCCGTTGAAAAGATTCTGTAAATGGTAAGCTGTCACTCCAGTGAGTGAGTATTGTTTTACGCTGTTTTTAACAATATTCCAGGAGTATCACGGCCCACTTGCACAAAGCTATCTTAGCGCTGTGACAATCTTAAGTCTATGGAAGAGTATGGAAAATCGAACCCGGGTCTTCGACGTGACGAGCGAACGAATTAACCACTAGTTTACCCCACGAATTCTACACAGTATACACGCTCTTAAACATAGGGGATCATGAAACATAAATGTTAATACCAAGTATTTGAACAAAGATTATTGCTGACGACAAACGTCCTTTACAAGAACGTTTATCTAAGACAAATTGTTATGGATGAGCAACTTCTTTATTATAATTGGGCGACGTTTCGGTGTAGATTCTAACACCGTTATCAAGCAAATGATAGAATCTAAACCGAAACGTTGCCCAATTGTTATAAAGAAGTTGCTCATCCATAACAATTTTGTCTTAGTTACCATTCCAACTTCTAAATGCCACTCAAAGAAGCACGTTTATGTCTGCATAATTTACACCAAACACATTCTATAGTTTGCACATGCTTCACTCAGAGGCACCCATACGTGCGTAGGGTGTCATTCCTGATTTTGACACTTTCAAGGAAGGCCGATTAATCTCCGTGGACCATTATTTCTGCCAATCTCAATGATTCTGCTTATCATACAATTGTGATTTACTTCATTCATTGTTTGTGTACGAACGCGCGATACGGCGTCTGCAACACGCGGATCGCCTACGGGCTATTGGCTTGCTGGAAACTAGCGGCCAGCCTGCAGTGGCCAATACGTTCCATGTGTCACGGTCTGTGATTAGCAGACTATGGAACTATGGACTATTGGCATGCTGGAAACTAGCGGTCAGCTTGCAGTGGCCAATACGTTCCATGTGTCACGGTCTGTGATTAGCAGACTATGGAACAGGTACAACAAACCCAAATTGTTGACGATCGACCCCGTTCATGGCCATCCAGGTCAATGACAAGAGTACAAGATCGACTGACCAGAAATAAGGCTCAACGAAATAGAGGTCAAACGGCGAATCCAATAGCTGCAAACATTCATCAGGTTACTGGAGTGCTGGTTACGGGCCACATACCCATGTCAGGAATCGAGCCCGGGTCTTCGGCGTGACGAGCGAACGCTTTAACCACTAGGCTACCCGACCGCCCTCTACATCATATGAAAAGCACAACTGTTATACATGTCAATATATCATATTTGTATCACATGGAATACAATCTATTGTGGTACAATCCGTAACGATAGGAGCAGAGTTGCGTCCCTTAGGCGTACCAGGAAATGATCGAGGTTTCAAATCCTGGTTCGCCCTGATTTTGTTCCTAGTTTTTTCAGCGCCCTACCGGTTTTCGAAGAGCCGCTAAATCAAATTCACTCACTCATTTAACACATGTACTCTGATTTTTACCAGTTTATAAAGAGATAAATGCATTTTAAATTTGACTGGAATGAACAAATGTCCATCTAAACGTACGAAATTTTAACTGTAATGTTTGAGATTAAGTTACGTAAGGGAGGTTGGGGCAGATTTCTGAAGTTTATTTCCTTCTGCCGGTTAGAAGAATTTGACAGTTATAGAACGGACGGAGGATGGAAGGTGGGCAGTACGCTTACTACAAGTTCATTTAGACATTACCCGTGAAGATCCGGGGTAGAATAGGTCTTCAGTAACTCATCCTTGCGACTATGCTTCCCGTAAGAGGCGACTAACGGAATCGGGTGGTCAGGCTCGCTGACAATGTAGATGCATGTCATCGTATCCCAATTATCGAAAATTGCGTGGATCGATGCTAATGATTGTCTGGTCCAGACTCGATTATTTACAGGCCGCCGTCATATGGCTGGAATATTTCTGAGTGCGGCGTTAAACAACAAACAAACAAACAAACAAATCGTTTAGACATTCGATCCTGTTGATTTGATATGATAGTTACGGAAAGATAGACATTGCTGCTGTATAAACGTACCTTCGTATACATGTACGTTGAGGAACACAAACTCACCCGACTTAATGCAATCAAATGTTACCTCTCCTCACCAAAGACACATATTACAATGGGCTGCACACAAAACTATTAATTTAATGTTCCTCGTGCACATTGTTGCCCAAGGAGAAGAGGGAGATGGGACATTTATGTTTGTTAAGTTTTTATTATTGAAAACAAAAGAGATGCGGAGTTACAAACGGATATGTCGGATATATTGTTTTGAATGTGACGTGTCTTTTCGCCATAACCTCTAAGGAGGTTGTACTTTTGTTTAGTAAGACCTCATCTTATGAGGTTTTACTTTTTCCGGGTACGATCTGATAAGTATAGAAGCATGTAGTTTGGACTTAGTGTTTCAAACTTCCAATGTTCTAAAACGCAAGACAAGAAATGAAACGTGTTCATTATGGATAACGGGAATCAGGCCAACAACCTCTTGATCAGTTGTCAGACACTCTAGCCATTAAACCACACAACTGGTTGAAGGTAGGTGGTTCGTTTGAAGGTTGTTTTTTCCCCTTCAGTTTGCTAATAATCGTTTTATATTTTCTAGTCTCTTACGGGTATTAATTACCAAAATGTCATTTAATTCAACATTTAGGGTCATATCTAGTACATCAAAACTTTTTGTGTGGACAATATTTGATACTGCTGCCTGACATAGAACCTTAGTTTTGTTAATATTGATCTTTGGACCAGACATTTTTTAATGTATCAAGTATATTAAGCGCAATACATAAACTTTGTTCAGATCCATCTAAAAATAAGTCTGTATCATCAGCTTATTGATCAATTTTGTATTCATTATCATTTATTCTGATAGGAGCCTAATATTTTCGCTGATACATCGCCCTGATATAAAAGCTGTTTGATTTTCATGTATTAGTGTTGGCAATGATCTTCAAATACAATTTGCTATGCAGCAACTTAGGATTTTGTACAAAGTATTTAATAGAGTAATGGGTCTCCAATTTTTAAGTATTCTTCTATCTTTATTGGGTTTAGGTATGGTAGTTATAACACCTCTTTTCATAGTGTCAGTCGATTATTCTCAAAGGTATCCTTTATAAATCTATAAACCCAAACAGATATCTGTCGAGAAAAAAATTCAAAATTCAACTGAGAACCCCTCTATACTTGTGGATTTATTACTTTTCATTTTATGGACTTCTTCTGCTATTTCTTCTTTTTGTAAGGGTAATTCAAGTTCATCAAACATTTTATTATCAATTCGGGGAGTGATTATATTTTCAAGGTCTCTTAAGTCATTATGTTCAACCTCAGATGATATTGAATATAGTGAATGGTAGAATTGTTTTTGTTCTTCAAGTATTTGTTTACAGTTAGTTATTATATCTCCATCATCATTTAAAATTGAATATATTGTTTTGGAAGTATAAACTCTATTTTCTAATTTACAAAAAATATTTTGTTGGTTTTTCGCCTTCCTCATACCAGTTATTTCTATTTCTTATATTAGTTCCTTGAATTTCTTCTTCTTTAATTTTTTCAAATTTATATTTTAATTGGCTTAATTCATTTAATTTCTTTTCATTGATGTTTTGGAAATACTATCCTCTATCTCAGAAATATTATTTTCAAGTTTTTCACGTTCTTTATTTTTATTTTTTTTAGAAATGCAGAGACAAAGATAGATTTTCCTCTAATTTTCATTAACAATGTTTCTTGGAAGAGAGAATCGTTTATTGATAATTTCAAATCTTCGTCATCAACAATGTTATCATTAATAGAAGATTTGTCTTTGTATTCATTTTTAGTCTCTGCAATTGTATTTTTGACAAGATCAATATAATGTTTTTAATATAAAAGAGAGGTATTAAATTTCCAATATCCTTTACCCTATCTTTATTTCCAGCATTTGTTAGAGTAAGGAAAATAACGGAGTGATCCGATTTGTATTCTGGCAAAATTGATGAATCTATTGTCATATCTAATAAATCTTGGGAGATTATGAAGAAGTCTAACCTTGCTTGTTGGCGGGGATTTTTTTCCACCACGTACATTTTTCTGAATCTTTATTTAGTTGTCTCCAAACACCCAGAAGATCTAGTTCTTCAATTTTATCCATTAATAATTTTCTTGCTTTTGGATTATTTACATGTTTGTAGTTTTCAAGATCTACATTTGGGTTTAACACTAAATTCTAATCCCCACAAATGACCGTTGAGCTATTGTGAAATTCGGCCATTTTAAAAAAAATAAGCTTATAAAATTCAGGTTTATCGTCATTTGTATCGTCATTGTATTGTGCCCTCTTCTATGTATGAATGCTTTAAAATCTTAAGGCCGAAAGTGATGCAGGTCTCGGACGTTTACCACTTCGGTGAAACTCACGAGCACGGGTATGGTGCTGACAAACCTAGAAACATAATCGGGGCGAACCGGGATTCGAACCCACAATTACATGGTTAAGGGACGTAACTCTGCACAGCGAATCGCGGCGCCTCAGACGACTGGGCCATCCGTGCCCCCTTACCACACTTAGAAGAACTTGGGTAATGGTGAAATAATTTGTTGCGGATATAACATGATGTAAGAGGGATATATCTACAAAACATTTAGTCATTTGAGCAGATTGTTTTGCTGGGAAATATATAGGGGTCTGTGACCTTTGGACAATGGCCAAACCTGTTGTGATAAAGTATTTGCAGAAAAAAACAACGCTTAAATCTTGGACTCAAACACGTGTTCTAAGTTTCATCGATAAAAAACAACATGGAATTAAACTTTAATAAGCAATTTATTCTTCACAACTGACACCAGGCAGGAGCAGAAGGCGTGGCATGTCCCGTGTGTCCAGACAGAGACAGTTCAGGTATGTGTAGGTTTTGAAGTTTGTTATATGAGTAATATATGTAAAAAAAATCTCCATTTTACGTTTTCACTAATCTTAGTGCCTTCATTTTGGACTACGCTGTAATAAGGGACCGTTTAAGTCAGTGGGAAGTAAAGGTGAAGTGAATGAGTTAAATTTCTACTCACAAAAGGACACTATGGCTTCGTGTATTGATAAAAAGGCACATGTAGTTTCAGGTTTATACATAGGCCATATATAGTTTCAGGTATATACACAATGTCACTATATAGTTTCACGTACATACAAAATTTCACTTTATAGTTTCACGTATATACAAAATTTCACTTTATAGTTTCACGTATATACAAAATGTCACTATATAGTTTTATGTGTGCACAACACCACTCTGTAGTTTCATATATACACAACACCACTCTGTAGTTTCATATGTACAAAACACCACTCTGTAGTTTCATATATACACAACACCACTCTTTAGTTTCATATATACACAACACCACTCTTTAGTTTCATATACACAAACCACTCTGCAGTTTCATATATACACAACACCACTCTGTAGTGTCATATATCCACAACACCACTCTGTAATTTCATGTATACACAACACCACTCTGTACTTTCATATATACACAACACATAGATACACAACACCACTCTGTAGTTTCCCGAATAACAAAAGGCGCCATTCCAGCAGTTGCCTCATTAACAAGCAATTGTTTATGAGTTATGCGTTAAAATTACATGTGAAGTCCAAATTTTTGCCTTGGAATCGAAAATTATAAGAAATAAAAATATCATAAATAGCAAAGTTCAGAACTTGTCTTGATTTTTTTGCCATGTTTTATATGTGAAACATTGTGAACAGCTGAAAAAGAAACCCTACTCTCATTTGAACATACATGTATGTCCTAAGTGCTGACGAGGAAATGATGATTTGTTTACAAATTCCTGTAAGCGGCGCAGAATTTGAATACTTTTACATATCTGTCAGATGTAACATACAGCAGGCCGTCAGCATCAAGACAGACACCACGAGGATCTTTGAGACCATCCTGTTGTGTGAGGACATATCTGACAAACTGTCCCGACTCTGTCAGCTGAATCACCTTGTGGGAGTATGTGTCCACAAGCAGGATATCTCCTGTGCTGGTTGATGTGATGCCACAAGGAGCTCTGTCTCCTGTAGGAGTGTAGGTGAAAACAGCGTCCCCTTCACTGGTAACACATACAAGGGATTTTACTGCTTCTTCACTGACTATCAAGTTGTTGTTCCTGATGATATGGATGTAGTCTGGACTCCCTATCACTCCCGTGTTGATAGACCTCAGTATCCTCCCTGTCATGTCCAGTATGTCCACAGAGTGAGACTGTCCCCCTGTACCTGCCGCCAGCTGTGAAGAACTCAGACAGGCTAGAGCCCAGTACTCCTTGCTTGTCTTGATAGTTGACAGTAATACAGGACCTGGGGTAACATTCACTGTAACTATTTCCTGACTGTCTGGAACACTGACCGCTATCTGACTCTCACTTAACTTGGCAATTTGATAAGGACAATTAGAAAGCAGAAGCTGATTATGAAAGGATTTGAAGTTTGATGTGTAATATGTTTTGAGTCTCTTGTTATTGTAATCTGTAATTGCCATCACTTTCGCACCATCAACAGTCAACACTGTGACGTCACACAAGTCAGGATCCTCCCTGTCCCCATCGTCCTTGCAGTCAATGGTGTGATGTAGAACAGGAGAAGACCCAAGGTCACTCACTCCATGGACGACTTGAACCTCCCCCAGCTGTAGCTCATCAACTGCTTTACTCAGCTTGTCCAGGTCGTGTGTCAATACAACCCTTCCTGCTGCTGGTCTGTTGTCCGTGTCTCTGTTGTCTGTAAAAGTCTCACCCATCGACTCATAGACGGCATACATGTCCATCTCACAGTCGGACGTCACAGCATTGGCTGTGAACTCATACTGCTGCTGGTACATCTGTAGCTCGATCTCCTGGGATTTTATATCTGCTTGTAAGTCATGTAATTGTTTATCAGTAGCTTTGTCGATGTCACCAAGGAGTTTCTTCTCTTTTCTTAAAATAGCACGCATCACTGTATCGCGTGTCTTCATGACTTGATCTTTGAGGGTTTGTGAATTAATTTTCACATCTTGAATTGTAGATTTTCTCTGGGTTATGATATTATTCATAGCTGCAATCTTGATTCCGAGTTTCTCTATTTTGCTTGTCAGTTGTTCCTTCACAAGAGGGGTCATACTCTCTATTGTATCAACATCCTTACATGTCCTGTGTTTTATACTGCAACAAATCGTGCATATTGCCTGCTTGCAGTCTTTACAGAACAACTCTATCGGTTTGTCTCTGTGGACTTGACACATGAAGCGCCGCTTGACCTTTGTCTTGGTGTGATCAGACAAGTGAGCGACTTCATGGTCACACAACCCTGGCATCATGTTGTGCAACTGGAGACATCCTTCACAGTACACAACATCGCAGACAGAGCACCAAGAAGTGGCTGGAGTTGTCTTTCCTTGTTTTGTACAAACACTGCACACATGTTCCTCCACAGCTGAAAAGGCAAATGTTCTTGATTTCATTGGTCATAAAACATGATAAGAATCGGACATTATCTAGGGATATAATAACATTAAAGACGTTACTTTTGTCATAAAGGTACACGCCCATTATGTAGGTGAATATATCACATAACACAGGTTGTAATTAGATATTATTGCTGTAGGAATCCCTAGTCAGTATCTGAGCTAGTGTTTATCATAACCAGAACGGGTATATGGCGCCATTTAAGTTGGGAGTCCAAAATGACAGGAGAGTCAACAATAAGATGTTTATAAATGTTAACGTTACAGGTGCTTTGTCACAGTGGAGGGTCAGCTCTGCAAATTGCACCGTCTTAATGACAGGGCCAACCATGTGTCCTCATCGATTTGAAAAGATGTCAGAGACCAGATTTATATTAAAAAGAAACGCATGTTTTTTTCTTTCTGTTATAACACGTTTGGTTTATGAATTCCGACACAGACAATAACGATATATGAGCTAACTTCTGTTTTAGTTTCGAGAAACAACCCACATAGCCATTGCTCCTTTGGTTTTAGAACCAGTGGAGCTAACAAAAGACCACCAGAGTTTGAAAAGAAGTACAACTTTTTCTGCGCGTGGTATTAATTCAATTAACGCCTTTTTTACATATTTTTGATGGACCTTAAAAAATGTCGGGTTGTTGCATTGTCACCCTTTGGTAAAACAGTATTCAAAGCGCGACGACAAATGGTCAAAATGTGGCGATGTGGCAATGTCCTGTTTTGGTAATTTTGACACTTTTGCTAGTTTTTGTTAGGACGACAATGCTGACATTCTGGTATTCCACAGAACCCATCTAATATCCATTAGACCAAGAATGTGCTCTTTTACTTTGGTATTTGTTTTGAACACTTTGAAATAATGATCCGCCTCAACACCTTGGATTTTATTGAAAAAAATAAATTGTCCCAGAAAGTTCTTGACAAAACCTTATTGTGCTTCTGATATACGCGCAACTAAGATCAACTCCACAGATAAATATCATAACAATTATTTACTAGTTTGTAAACAACATTTACAAGGAATGACGAGTAGCAAGGAGGTAGGTGAATACATTGTATGTAATTATATTTAGTTATGGCACTATATGTCTGAGTTACATTAGATTTTTCATCGGTAGGTCAGGCTGTAATTTCGTTTGTCTTTGTGAGATACTTATCCTGCATTAAATCTATTGACATGAAGTCATAATAAGCCATTTTATGAGCGAATTCTCGTTTATATCCGCGCAAGAGTGTATTTATATATCTCAAACCAAGGTATATTAGTCAGGCAGTACAATACTAAGCTGATTACCCTTTGTGCCGGGACCAAAGTCGTCCATCAGCCCCTGTATGACGTGGCTTGGTTTCAGCTGACTGACCCACTCCTCTACTGGACTGTCAGGGTTGGTCACCTTCGTCTGTTGTCTACAGGAGGGACATGGGATGGACTTGGCTTGTACTGCTTCCGGCTGTGTGCAGGTGTATTTCAGCAGACAAGACTTGCAGAATGTATGATGACAGTGAAGCGTGGCAGGGTCTGTGAACACCTCTGTACAGATGACACAGGTGAGGTGGTTCTCTGTTAGCTTCTTAGCGGTCGCCATCTGAAGCAAATCGGACATTTGAAGTATAGATGGATGTGTTGTAGACATAATCATAAAACATGTACATGATCGCATTAACCCTGACGTCCAAAGACGTAACATCTTTACAAGCAGTGAGACGGGAGAGAAAAGGAGACGACCCACTGCATTGTTCTGTGGTGCTGTCTGTGGGTAAAGGGGGGTAACTCTTGTTGTCATACTCTACCCTGAGCAGTGAACATGAGGAATGAATACCATGTTTTGAAAACATGATCAACTGTCGTTTCTGTTATGGACCAATTTCCACAAACACAAAGGCATTTTTTATGTTAGTGAAATATCAATAGTGTCACACTCTTTGTCATAGTAGGGTCAGTGGAGGATAAGTTCAATGTTTCGTTATAGCACAGTGACTCTTTATTTCACTATCATATTTGATAAGATACATTTTCATATGAACTTCCATAAACATTTGATAGATCTTTCATTTTGTATTCTGTCTACGGAGGTTCTACAACATATTTAACCACTATGATTCTGTGCTTGGTAAGAAGCAACTAAAACGTGGATTGGATGGCGTGAACACACAACCTTTGGCCTGGTCAGCTGTGTGTCGCTCTTTCTGTCTGACTTATCGCTCATTCCGGGCCGAGATTTGACTATTTACAGATCCCCAGGCTTGTGTATGGATTATTTTGTATGGAATGTATTTATTTTGTAAAATCCACGTGAAAACATGATCATCAATCTGACTTCAGCTAACTCCTCAACATGTGTCACAAACACTGGTCAATTCCACATGTATGTAGTGTATGTATGTTTCTTCTACTATTTCAATATTGTTTGTTTCCCCACTCACTCCCTCGCTTACTCACTCTCACACGTACTTGCTATTGATCCACCGCACTCCTTTATACACATAGACATGAGGATATATTACACACGCGACATTGTGTGGATGTTGTGGATGTTGTTCAAGGGGACCTTGACCTTGACCTCATTTCTACTTTCGTTTTAACGGGTCACTATGACCTCAGATAAATGTAGGCAAAACCTTGTCTCCCTAGCTGGTGTTAGTTTATGTTGATAACAGTACATTTGATAACAGTAAATCTTATCCTTAATCCGCGATGTAGATTCAGCTGCTAACTGACGTGATACAGAAATATATGGATTTAATCATTGTTGACTCCTGTCGCATAGATCTACATCGATATAAAGCTTTCTGTGTTCACCTGAAACCGAGGTGCTTGCAGGTTTACATTATAACACAGGTAACGCAGCTATGTACTGATAGCGAATGTAAAATCTGTATTTGTGTGTGAAATGTTATGTAACTACGTGACATACCGATATTACAATGGGCGCGTCTTCTCTCTGAAGGCGTCTCACTTCCTGGTTGCTGGCTCGTGTCACGTGACATAACTTAGTCTCACGTGATCCGCTGACGGCAGGTATATACATGTATCAAAGCAACTATTTACGACTCTATGGTTTGGTTATTAAAGCAAAACTAATAATAGTTTACACATGTGTTTGTGACCACTCAGAATAAATCGTGCTAAAATTGACATACATAGTTTCTCATATTATCTAGTGAACCAGAGTATATTTGCGACATCATATGAAAAGCACAACTGTTATATACGGTGGCCCATAAGGGACATGGAGTATGATTTCAGTTGTATCACAAATTGTGTTAATTTGCAAAAGGTAACGATAAAAGTAAGTGAAATATCAAAATATTGAAAAACAGACTCCATGTCCCTTATTGGCCACCGAAGTTATACATACAGTTATACATATATCGTAGTTGTATCATACGGAATACAATTTGTTGTGGTACAACCCGTAACGATAGGAGAAGAGTTGCGTCCCTTAGGATAAACTGGAACAAATTATATTTGTTCTCAAACCGTGTCTGATGATTTTGCTATTGAGACTATAAGTTGTGTTAAATCATTTAACTTATGGACTATGGACGATGGGCGATGGGAAAAGAAAGTATACACTTGATAAATGGATTTGAAATTGTGAGCCCCGTGTTCCCTGAGACGTTGTGCGCACGTCACCTGTGAGATACTCATTGATATGATGCGTGTGATATTGCCTTTGATTATCGTATCAAATACATCATCATGGAATAACCGTTCCTTGTTTGTTTTATTTGTAGCCTCCCTCACACGTGTGTGTACTTTCTTTAGCCCGGCATTAACGGCGGACTTTCAATATAAATAACCCTGGTACAGATAAACTAGTGATCAACTTTGTGGTATAGATATACATCAAGAAGAATACCCAGCACTATGGGGAAAGTGTTGAAGTATGGAGAGCCCTGATCAGCACGTTTGTGACCCAAGTTCACAGGCAAGGGGAAAGATTTCACCTCCACCTCTGTGTCCGCCTTAACGGTGGACACAACAATGGCGTACAGGATTGTGTTGTGTACAACTGTTCTTATCACAACATGGACCACGGGATTGATCACTGCATCATCTATGGAACAAGAGATGTCTACACTGGATTCTGTTTCAAAGGGGAGATATGTATGATTGTACAGGACAGAGCAACCTTGTTAACATACCCCAAACTGGACATTATGCACGAAGTTAGGAGACATCCGTTTGTTTCACTGCTATTGGTTGCCGGTGTCATAGATTCGAACCCGAGACATACTAGTGGGGACTTCGCAGGATTGCAATCAGCAATTATACATCAGATTAAGGAATCTGAAGACAGATAATTATAAGACATACGATCTTTGAGATAAGAACTTTATTCAATCAAGGCAGAGGTGAACTTAGAACAGAAGTCAACAGAAAAGGACAGGTTATTCTCAGACGAGATGTTGACGAAGTATCCACCAAGTAGATGAACTGTATTACTGATCTGGCAGTATTTGTGACCTAGAGTCTAGAGTAGAGCACCAGGAAAGACAGAGCAGACGAAATAATTTGATTGTATTTGGGGTTCCAGAGGGAATAGAGGAATCTTATAAAATGTGCAAGGAAAAGAACTAGACATTTTTTATAGAGCCAGACATCAGAACACTTTTCTGAGGCCGAGTTACGGATCCAGACACCCACACACGGAAGGCACATGTCCACAAGGTCAGGGCGTGTAAACATTCCTTGTAAGGTCATCTACACATTAGTAACATGATTCCATAACAAAACACTGTTATATGATCATAGTCCTTGTTTCACCAAGCAATCTTAGCGGTAGGCAGGCACAGACACGCGCGCACACACGCACACACACACACACACACACACACACACACACACACACACATGTACACATATATATGCCTACCACTAAGATCACGGACTCGCTCTGGGCCCTGTTCGACAAAGCGATCTTAGTGCTATGACTGCTAAGCCTTTGTTAAAGTATGGGAGCTACGATCATCTTAGCACTAAGATCACGGAGTCGCTCAGGACCTTAAGACTATCCAATAATACCTCCTGAGCATGCCCATACAGGTTACGACTACCGTACCAGTTAAAACCACCAATAACATAAAATGGGGAGCAAACGAAACTGTTTCCCAGTTGTTGTTTTCATATGTTTGCTTTTCAGTTGAAAATATACTAAGTTAGCGATATTATATCCAAAACTTTCTACCAGCGCTTTGTAAGCACACAATGAATACCGCTACATGGTTTTATTTCTTAAATATAAATTGATTTAAAACCTTTACAAATGTACAAAAGACATCGCACGATACACAAGTGCTGATGGGTATATTAAACATCTTATCTTTGAAAATGAATATATTTGATTTTTCGGCTCAAATATACAACATGTAAAACCTGGTGGGGGTCATGTGGTTGCAAATGTATTTGTTATCCCAGTCTTCATTGAACCAATTTATTTTTACATACAATTAGACAGCCGCTGATTACTTTTTATAAACTGTTGCAGGAATGAGTGATGGTTGACAGACATAATTAAATTTAACTGTTCTTTCAATTTTCAAATGCATGAAACACAAACTCAGTCTGCTTTCGCTTCCCCCTCAGTTCATATTGTAGTGACAAACAAAGAATAATGTATGACAATTTTATACCTTACTGGAGGAGAGAAGTGTTACAGACAGTAACCGAGGGAATGGACGAAATATACTGAGGCATTACGGTACCTTTAAATAACAATACCGGGCTGAACATAATGTTAGAACTATTCTCCCAAGAAGTTAAAGAAGCGCTCTTGCAACATTCTGATGTGGAGTTACTGTACCTTTAAAAAACAATACCGGGCTGAACATAATGTCAGAACTATTCTCCCAAGAAGTTAAAGAAGCGCTCTTGCAACATTTCGATGTGGAATTACTGTGCCTTTAAAAAACAATACCGGGCTGAACATAATGTTAGAACTATTCTCCCAAGAAGTTAAAGAAGCGCTCTTGCAACATTCCGATGTGGAGTTTCTCCATTGTGTTTCAATGGAGTTGAGGATGAAAAACAACTCAATTCTCATCACGGACGTTTACTCCGTTGAAAACATTCTGATACAAATGGTAAGCTGTCACTCCAGTGAGTGAGTATTGTTTTACGCTGCTTTTAACAACATTCCAGGAATATCACTGCGGGGGACACCTGGGCCCGCTTGCACAAAGCTGTCTTAGCACTGTGACTATCTTAAGTCTATGGAAGAGTACGGAAAATCGAACCCGGGTCTTCGACGTGACGAGCGAACACTTTAACCACAATCTACCCCACCGCCCAACTCCAATTCGAAATGATACACGAATTATACACAGTATACACGCTCTTAAAATAGGGGATCGTGAAACATAAATGTTAATACCAAGTTTTTAAACAAAGGTTAGTGCTGACGACAAACGTCCTATACAAGAACGTTTATCTAAGACAAAATTGTTATGGATGAGCAACTTTTTTATTACAATTAGGCGACGTTTCGGTGTAGATTCTAACACCGTTATCAAGCAAATGACAGAATCTACACCGAAACGTTGCCCAATTGTAATAAAGAAGTTGCTCATCCATAACAATTTTGTCTTAGTTACCATTCCAACTTCTAAATGCCACTCAAAGAAGAACGTTTATGTCTGCACAATTTACACCAAAACACATTCTATAGTTTGCACATGTTTCACTCAGAGGCACGAATACGTGCGTTGGGTGTCATTCTTGATTTTGACACTTTCAAGGAAGGCCGATTAATCTCCATGGACCATTATTTCTGCCAATCTCAATGATTCTGCTTATCATACAATTGTGATTTACTTCATTCATTGTTTGTGTACGAACGCGCGATACGGCGTCTACAACACGCGGATCGTCGACGGGCTATTGACATGCTGGATACTAGCGGTCAGCCTGCAGTGGCCAATACGTTCCATGTCAAATTGGATATTGAAAATGTTATGAATGATGCTCCAGAAATTTCACACATTGAAAACGCATAGAGATTTTTAAAGGACATGTAACCCATATTAATGAACAAGTGAACGTTTGAAATGCAACATGAGGATGTGTGTAGACTAGTTATCAGAGTTCAAATCTCCGTCTGATCACAAAAACACATCTTCCTCATTTAAACTATACCTCAAAATACAAATTTAATGTACGCTTTTCAAAAGTCAAAACATTTATTACATCCTTTTTTGTATCCAGATAGAGTTGTGTAATGTTATAGTGATATTTACTGTTACTTCAATCAATCAGAAATACTATACATCAGTACAAATAACTGATACCAATGAGGACACAAGTAAACCAATTCTCAAAGCATCCATGCACTACTATAGCCTCCACAAATAGCTGAACGCTCGTTGTGTTATATATTTGTTCAGCACACGTTGAAGCCTCGATGAGCTATGTTGTTTAACTGATAATCTAGAGGCTTGAACCATACCTAACTACGTGAACAGGTTTCTCATTTAGTTCTGTCATTGTGAGTGAGTGAGTCGGGTTTTACGCTGCTTTGAACAGTATTCCAGTTATATCACGGCGTGTCAGCTTAATGTGGGAGGAAAGCCCGAAGTGATGCAGGTCTCAGACGGTATCCCCTTATTGGTAAAACCCAGGAGCACGGGTATGGTGCTGACAAACCTAGAAACATAATCGGGGCGAACCCTGTCACAATGCGTTCCTTTAACAAATGTCCTTTACAAATCAGGTCAGATTTCTACACGTGAAAGATCGTCCTCTGTTTAATGACTGACATGGTGAATTACGTTTACAAGAGCCGATCTGGACTTCTTGTCGGTTGTCAATTTTGTATATCTTCAACTGTGTATGGAGATAAAAATTACTCCATTTTAAAATTCAGCGGCGCAGATTTTGAATACTTTTACATATCTGGCAGACGTAACATACAGCAGGCCGTCACCATCAAGACAGACACCAACAGGATATTCCAGACCATCCTGTTGTGTGAGGACATCTCTGACAAACTACCCCAACTCTGTCAGCTGAATCACCTTGTGGGAGTGATAGTCTACAAGCAGGATATCTCCTGTGCTGGTTGTTGTGATACCTAGAGGCCATGTCAGAGCTCTGTCTCCTGTGGGAGTGTAGGTGAAAACAGCGTCCCCTTCACTGGTCACACATACAAGGGATTTTACGTCTCCTTCACTGACTATCAAGTTGTTCTTCCTGGTGACGTGGATGAAGTCTGGACTCCTTATCACTCCCGTGTTGATAGACCTCAGTCTCCTCCCTGTCATGTCCAATATGTCCACAAAGTGAGACTGTCCATCTGTACCCGCCGCCAGCTGTGAAGGACTCAGACAGGCCAGAGCGTAGTAATCCTTGCTTGTTTTGATGGTTGACAGTAATACAGGACCTGGGGTAACATTCACTATGACTATTTCCTTACTGTCTGGAACACTGACAGCAATCTGACTCTCACATAACTTGGCTATTTGCCAAGGATCACTAGAAAGCAGAAGCTGATTATGAAAGGATTTGAAGTTTGATGTGTAATATGTTTTGAGTCTGTTGTTATTGTAATCTGCAACTACCACCACTTTGATGCCATCAACAGTCAACACTGTGACGTCACGCACCAAAGGATCCTTCCCGTCCCCATCTTCCTTGCAATCAATGGTGTGATGTAGAACAGGAAAAGACACAGGGTCACTCACATCATGGACGACTTGAACCTCCCCCAGCTGTAGCTCATCAACTGCTTTACTCAGCTTGTCCAGGTCGTGTGTGAATACAACGCTTCTTGCTGCTGGTCTGTTGTCCGTGTCTCTGTTGTCTGGAGACTTCTCACCCACCGAATCATAGACGGCATACATGTCCATCTCACAGTTGGACGTCACAGCATTGGCTGTGAACTCATACTGCTGCTGGTACATCTGTAGCTCGATCTCCTGGGATTTTATATCTGCTTGTAACTCACTTAATTGTTCATCAGTAGCTTTGTCGATGTCTCCAAGGAGTTGCTTCTCTTTTCTTAAAATAGCACGCATCACTGTTTCTCGTGCCTTCATGACTTGATCTTTGAGGGTTTGTGAATTACTCTTTACATCTTGAATTGTAGATTTTCTCTGGGTTATGATATTATTCGCAGCTGCAATGTTGATTCCGAGTTTCTCTATTTTCTTTGTAAGTTGTTCCTTCACAAGAGGGGTCATACTCTCTATTGTATCAACATCCTTACATGCCCTGTGTTTTATACTGCAGCATATCGTGCATATTGCCTGCTTGCAGTCTTTACAGAACAACTCTATCGGTTTATCTCTGTGGACTTGACACATGAAGCGACGCTTGACCTTTGTCTTGGTGTGATCAGACAAGTGAGCTACTTCATGGTCACACAACCCTGGCATCATGTTGTGCAACTGGAGACATCCTTCACAGTACACAACATCGCAGACAGAGCACCAAGAAGTGGCAGGAGTTGTCTTTCCTTGTTTTGTACAAACACCGCACACATGTTCCTCCACAGCTGAAAAGGCAAATATACTTGATTTCATTTGTCATAAAACATGATGAGAATCGGACATTATCTAGGGATATAGTAACATTAAAGACGTTACTTTTGTCATAAAGGTACAGGCCCATTATGTAGGTGAATATATAACATAACACAGGTTGTAATTAAATATTATTGCTGTTGAAATCCCTGGTCAATAATGAACTACTGTTTATCATAACCAGAACGGGTGTATAGCGCCATTTAAGTTGGGAGTCCAAAATAACAGGAGAGTCAACAATAAGATGTTTATAAATGTTAACGTTACAGGTGCTTTGTCACAGTGGAGGGTCAGCTCTGCGAAGTGCACAGTCTTAATGACAGGGCCAACCGTGTGTCCTCATCGATTTGAAAAGATGTCAGAGACCAGATTTATATTAAATAGAAATGTAAAGTGTTTGTTTCTTGCTGTTATAACACGTTTGGTTTATGAAATCCGACACAGACAATAACGATATATGAGCTAACTTCTGTTTTAGTTTCGAGAACAACCCACATAGCCATTGCTCCTTTGGTTTTAGAACCAGTGTAGCTAACAAAAGACCACCAGAGTTTGAAAAGAAGTATAACCTTTCCGGTGCATGGGATTAATTCAATTAACGCCTTTTTGACTAATTTTTGATGGGGCTACCATGCGACAATGCGACATACTTGTTGCGTTGCGTTGCGTTGCGTTGCGTTGCGTTGTTGCAACAGGTAAAACACTATTCAATGGGTGACGACAAATGGTCAAAATGTGGCGATATGGCATTGTCGCGCTTTTGATAATTTTGACACTTTTGCTTGTTTTTGTTAGGACGACATCACGACAACGTGACAATGTCCATTCTGGTATTCCACAGAACCGATCTAATATCCATAAGTCCAAGAATGTGCTCTTTTGTCTTGGTATTTGTTTTGAACACTTTGAAATAATTATCCACCTCAACACCTTGGATTTTATTGAAAAAAATAAATTGTCCCAGAAAATTCTTGACAAAACCTTATTGTGCTTCTGATATACGCGCCACTAAGATCAACTCCACATATAAAAATCATAACAATTATTTACTAGTTTGTAAACAACATTTACAAGGAGTGACGAGTACCAAGGAGTAGGTGAATACATTGTATGTAATTATACTTAGTTATGGCACTATATGTTTGAGTTACATTAGATTTCATCGGTAGGTCAGGCTGTAATTTGTTTGTCTTTGTGAGATACTTATCCTGCATTAAATCTATTGACATGAAGTCATAATAAGCCATTATATGAGCGAATGCTTGTTTATGTCCGCGCAAGAGTGTGTTTATATATCTCAAACCAAGGTATATTAGTCAGGCAGTACAATAATAAGCTGATTACCCTTTGTGCCGGGACCAAAGTCGTCCATTAGCCCCTGCATTACGTGGCTTGGTTTCAGCTGACTGACCCACTCCTCCACTGGACTGTCAGGGTTGGTCACATTCGTCTGTTGTCTACAGGAGGGACATGGTATGGACTTGGCTTGTACTGCTTCCGGCTGTGTGTAGGTGTATTTTAGCAGACAGGACTTGCAGAATGTGTGATGACAGTGAAGTGTGGCTGGGTCTGTGAACACCTCTGTACAGATGACACAGGTGAGGTGGTTCTCTGTCAGCTTCTTAGCGGTCGCCATCTGAAGCAAATCGGACAGCTAAACGAAGTATAGATGGATGTGTTGAAGACATAATCATAAAACATGTACATGATCGCATTAACCCTGACGTCCAAAGACGTAACATCTTTACAAGCAGTGAGACGGGAGAGAAAAGGAGACGACCCACTGCATTGTATATCTGTGGTGCTGTCTGTGGGTAAAGGGGGGTAACTCTTGTTGTCATACTCTACCCTGAGCAATGAACATGAGGAATGAATACCATGTTTTGAAAACATGATCAACTGTCGTTTCTGTTATGGACCAATTTCCACAAACACAAAGGCATGTTTTATGTTAGTGAAATATCAATAGTGTCACACTCTTTGTCATAGTAGGGTCAGTGGAGGATAAGTTCAATATTTCGTTATAGCACAGTGACTCTTTATTTCACTATCATATTTAATAACATACATTTTCATATGAACTTCCATAAACATTTGATAGATCTTTCATTTTGTATTCTGTCTACGGAAGTTCTACAACATATTTAACCACTATGATTCTGTGCTTCGTAAGAAGCAACTAAAATGTGGATTGGATGACGTGAACACACAAACTTTGACCTGGTCAGCTTTGTGTAACCCTTTGTGTCGGAATTATTGCTCATTCTAGGCCGAGACATGACTATTTACAGATCGCCAGGCTTGAACATTGCTAAATGTGGATTATTTATATCCTGACATTGACAAAAACATCACAGGTTAAGTGAAGGAATGAAGGTTTCCTAACAAAATGTGAGTTGCATGGATCTGAGTGAGTGAGTGAGTGAGTTGGGATTAACGCCGCTTTTAACAGTATTCCAGTTATATCGCGGCGTGTCAGCTTAATGTTAGAGGAAAGCCCGAAGTGATGCAGGTCTCAGACGTTTACCACTTCGGTGAAACCCACGAGCACGGGTATGGTGCTGACAAACCTAGAAACTTAATCGCAGCAAACCGGGATTCGAACCCACAATCATAGGTTTCTGGCGTGCCCAAGGGACCTTAGCGATTCGCGGCGCCTCAGACGACTAGGCCACCCGTGCCCCCGCATTGATCTGAATATTGTAAGACATCAAGTGGCGGTTGATTCTTTGTCTTTCAAGGTCACTTGCCACTCTGGCAGTGTTTGGACTATTTCGTATGGAATGTATTTATTTTGTAAAATTCACGTGAAAACATGATTATCAATCTGACTTCACCTAACTCCTCAACATGTGTCACAAACACTGGTCAATTCCGCACGTATGTATTGTATGTATGTTTTTTTTCTACTATTTCAATATTGTTTGTTTCCTCACTCACTCACTCGCTTACTCACTCACACACGTACTTGCTATTGATCCACCGCACTCCTGTATACACATAGACATGAGGATATATTATACACGCGACATTGTGTGGATGTTGTGGATGTTGTTCAAGGGGACCTTGACCTTGACCTCATTTCTACTTTCGTTTTAACGGGTCACTATGACCTCAGATAAATGTAGGCAAAACCTTGTATTTGTATCACAAATTGTGTTAATTTGGAAAAGGTTACGATAAAAGTAAGTGAAATATCAAAACATTGAAAAACAGACTCCATGTCCCTTATGGGCCACCGTAGTTATTTATACATGGCAATATATCGTAGTTGTATCATACGGAATACAATCTGTCGTGGTACAACCCGCAACGATAGGAGAAGAGTTGCGTCCCTTAGAATAAACTGGAACAAATTATATTTGTTCACAACTCGTGTCCGATGATTTTGCCTTTGAGACTATAAGTTGTGTTAAATCGATTAAGTTATGGACTATGGACGATGGGCGATGGGAAAAGAAAGTATACACTTGATAAATGGATTTGAAATTGTGAGCCCCGTGTTCTTTGAGACGTCGTGCGCACGTCACCTGTGAGATACTCATTGATATGATGCGTGTGATATTGCCTTTGATTATCGTATCAAAAACATCATCATCGAATAACCATTCCTTGTTTGTTTTCTTTGTAGCCACCCTCACACGTGTGTGTACTGTCTTTAGCCCGGCAGTTAACGGCGGACTTTAAATATAAATAACTCTGGTACAGATAAACTAGTGATCATTGATGTTTGAGAGTACAATACAGAGAGGAAATTTATTTGAAAAAAATCAACTTTGTGGTATAGATATACATCAAGAAGAACACCCAGCACTATGGGGAAAGTGTTGAAGTATGGAGAGCTCTGATCGGTTCACAGGCAAGTGGACAGATTTCACCTATATCTCTGTGTCCGCCTTAACGGGGGACACAACGATGGCGTACAGGATTGTGTTGTGTACAACTGTTCATATCACAACATGGACCACGGGATCGATCACTGCATCATCTATTGAACAAGCGATGTTCACACTGGATTCTGTGCCGCCAACGTGTTTCAAAGGTGAGATATGTATGAATGTACAGGACAGAACAACCTTGTTAATATACCAAAAACTGGACAGTATCCACGAAGTTAGGAGACATCCGTTTGTTTCACTGTTTCACGGTTGCCGGTGTCATAGATTCGAACCCGAGACATACTAGTGGGGACTTCGCAGGATTGCAATCAGCAATTATACATCAGATTAAGGAATCTAAAGACAGATTATCAAGAGACAAACGATCTTTGAGAGAAGAACTTCATTCAATCAAGGCAGAGGTGAACTAAGAACAGAAGTCAGAAGTCAGTGTGAACAGAGAAGAACAGGTTATTCTCAGACTAGATGTTGACGAAGTATCCAACAAAGTAGATGAACTGTATTACTGGTCTGACAGTATTAGTGAGCTAGAGTCTAGAGTAGAACATCAGAAAAGACAGAGCAGACGAAATAATTTGTTTGTATTTGGGGTTCCAGAGGGAATAGAGGAATCTTATAAAGTGTGCAAGGAAAAGATACTAGACATTTTTAATAGAGCCAGACATCAGAATCCTACAGTACACTTTTCTGAGGCCGAGTTACAGGATCCAGACACCCACACACGGAAGGCACACGTCCACAAGGTCAGAGCGTGTAAACATTCCTTGTAAGGTCATCTACACATTAGTCCTTGTTTCACAAAGCAATCTTAGCGGGAGGCAGGCACAGACACGCACAGACACGCACTCACACACACACACGCACACACACGCGCACACGCACGCACACACACGTACACATACACACACGCACACATACACACACGCACACATACACGCATACACACGCACACGCACGCACGCACGCACGCACACGCAAGCACGCACGCACACATACACGCACACACACGCACGCACACGCACATATACACGCACGCACGCACACGCACGCACGCACGCACATATACACACACA